AGTAAGGATGAGCCAAATGTGAAGTATGAATGTGTGGCGTTTGTATGTACTTTTGGAAGCAAAATTAGGAAGCAATAGGAAATCCCTAAATGATTGTTAATGCCTAGTGTACTAGATCCAAACGCACGAACTAGGACCACCTGTAGTAAACGCGGTGTTAACAACCATTTTATTTGTTTCAAAACTATTTGAAAAGCGGATAACATACGATGATCTGGTGAGTGTTTGGTAAGAATTTAACTAGCAAGAATAACGTTCCAGATTTTGGTCTACAATCGGTGGTTTTTTCGAAGTTACAGCAAGCTGAGAAGCTGATTATTATTCGGGGTGAAAAATTGGCTGGTTACAAATTGCTTGTTTCAGTTCAAATAATGAAATTCCTATTTTTCGGATGCTTGTGATTTCTCCGTGGCTATAAACACTGTTGCCCATGATTTATTAGAAAACTTTAAATAAATTTTCCTTGAACCAATGGTCTTTTTTCTTGGCGAAGCATCTATTGAGACGATTAGGTAGCAAAGTAGAATGTTCTGCGGTTGAGAATCGTAGTCGTTGTGTTTCGGATTTATATCGCGCATCTGATTGCTATAACCCTATGGATGAAGCTTTTTCCTCATGGTGCATTATGATATCTACAAACCGTAAGCACACTGCCTTCGGTAAATTTATTTTTATTTTTTAAGTGACAGCAAATAGTGAGTCATTTGAGGCGACAGGATAAATACCTCTAAACGCTTTCGTGAAGAGATTAGGATATGTTTATTTTTTCGAGACGATCTTTTACCCAGAAAGCTCACAGGATGTCTGCTTTTACTTTGTAATTCAAAGATAAGTTGAGTTGCTCACTTAGGAAGTAGCAACATGAGATTACCTTCAGCGGAAGCTATATTAAGGTAGCTTTAGGTGATGCGTCATAGAAGTAAGCAGCGTAGGTTAATTGTGTCCAGATACATTAAACGTTGTATAACTGGTCAAATCGTATTTCTTACATACGAGTTAGTTTTTTAAATAATGAGTGTACCGTACTAGCGTTTACCTTGATTTGCATACCTAGCTCATAAACATTATGCATGCGTGTGGTATACATTTAAGGTTAAGACGCTGTGTGATGAATTAGTCCGAGATACTTAACGTCAGACTTGTTTTCTGTACCACTCTCATCAATTTTGCAACGGTCATAGGAATTAACAGCTTCACCTGACTTTCTCTTACATCGGAAACTGATATTGACAGTCTGACATTTGGAAGGATTTAGTTTAAAAGCATTTTCTGACTACTGATAGAGAGCTGTTCCTCTTAGTACAGTGTAGATTCGAATTAAAAGACACTGGAATAGTTTGTCCGCGCACTTGACATATTTCATTTCGTTTGCGTATGTACATTAAGTTCGTCAAACAGAAATACAGTTGGTGGTGGACGACTATAATGGAGAAAGTGTTGTGATGCAAGACTGCAGCTGCATCTAAAGTACTTCTACTGTGTTTATAGGCGAATTATTTGAGATCGTTAAAGGATTTAAGTGAAGGTTGAAGATTAAGTAAGAGTAACTTTTCTATAGCTTTTAGAAAAGGAGAGGTAATATCAATAGGTCTAAATTTAAAACATGTTCCATTAGACGACTTAGGTACAGGTACAATTTCAAAGTCCTTTCAAACGGCTGGCAAACATTTCTGGAGAAAGAATCATTAAATATGTGAGAGGATTTCTGCACATTTTTTAAGAATAAGGCTAGGCAAACAATCTGGAACTAGGCTACAAGAAGGGTTCAACGACTGGAGATATTTTAGAACGTTATTTGTATTGAAACCAAGGAAGCAACTCTTATTAACACTTGTGACACCAGAAACCTTGGCATTTGTGGGAGAATGTATGAATGCCTTGTTTACCGTACACACATCAAATGAATAGGAAATACTGGAGGTAATTAGATGCGTAAAGGCGTGAGTTATTTAATATTCATAAAGTAGATATGCAAACACCGCAGTTGTTGATCATAGAAATGATTGAAATTAGATAACATCGCATGATTCAACGGCATATTAGAAACAGATGAAAATTTTTTCCTTGCTCATTGTCAAATGAACAGTCTATTTGATGATGTCAATGCATATTAACAGATTAGTGAAGTAGCTATCAAGCCTAAGTTATTACATTTACTTGTACTTCATACTTGGCGTTTAACAGTATACAGACTTGCAACTGGCTAGATAAGGCGATTTTAGCGTATCGAACAGTACAGAATTATTATTCAACTTGCTAAATCCTACTTAGTTTTTACAATGTGCTACTGTATACAAACAGACACGAAATCTTACGAAGGGCTAAAGTAATAGTCTCATAATACTATAGTAAATCTCCATCCCACTAACTAAGCTTAACATGCATTGATTCAAATTCACTTATTACAAAAGCACATAGTACAGCGACGCACTGAAAAAGTCTAGAGGAAGTAGAATTGAAGAGTATATTAAACATTTCATTAATTTACAAAAGAAAATCCCGATGAAGAGTATTAACGTTAGTTTGACCGAATGATATTTCCGCTGGTTTCATATTCGACAACTTCCGTATACCTGAAAAAAATAGAGCACATGTAAGGACTAGCATAACATGAAGTTATGAAAGATAATTCTACATATTAGCACACACTATGAATACACGGATTCTGTGATGGACAGCAAGATCGCTGTCTGGAATAGTGGCTTTGAGCCCCTCCCACCTTCGGGCTGCTCTGCTTCAGTTTCCAGTGTGTTGTAAAATTGTCTTTTATCTTTCCTTGGTCTCTTCTTAACTTCTTTACTCAGTGCGTTCTACATTGGACTCAGTTTCTCTTTCCGCTGTCTATCTTTGCAGTAATCCATCTTCAGTTTCACGTTTTCTGTCCCTTATTTACTTCCACTTGTCTTAAGAGAGCCATTCTTTGTCTTGCCTCTTGTTTCTTCCAAAAACGACCATTAACTTTTCCTTCAACATCAGTTTCATGGAGTTCCACTTTGCCTTTACACAAAACATAGTGTTTACTGCAGCCTGATGGCTGTGGTGAATGTGTCCTTTATATTTTGATTCTTCAGCGTCTGTGTTGATCTCTTATGTTTTCTATCTCCCACCGCTTCAAAGCCACCCGACTTGACCCTGAATGTCCCTTGCAGTAGATGATGTTCTGAGTGTGCATTTGCTTCTCTTCTCAATTTCGTGTGCATCAGACTGTGCCTCCACTTTCTTGCAATTGAGATGGAGCTAGTTTGGTTTTCGGTGTGCATAACTGGTGAAACTCGTGTCGCTTTTTGTATATCTCTGTAATCCAACACGCTGCCTCCAGTCACCAAATCATATAAGGTTCAGGGGTCTGCAAAAAGTTCTCCGTTTTCATTAACTTCACTGAGAGCCCCTTGACGCATGACGAGTCCCCCTCTTGTGTTACTTTCTTCTAGTTTAGCCCGTCAGGATTTTGATGTCGTCATACGGCTTGCTTCTTGTCTATTAGAGTTTGTAGTTGTCTGAAGAATTCTTCTTTTTTGATCTGCGTTACATGTGAGCGCGTAGCATTCGAGGATTGTAACTTTCCTTCCTATTTAGTAGAATCTTGCTGTTAGGAGATTAGTTCCCACTGTTGCAAAATCATAGATTAGAGCAGAGAACACATAAAACACGAGAGGGCAGATGGTGGTTTTGATTCCTGATTGCATAATATAACATGTGAAGTCAGTGAATCCCATGATACTGTTAGTGATATCATGATAGTCATTCAATCACTATACTCGTAGTTGTAACCTGAGTAGACGGAGTGGATTGTCGACTCTCCAGTTAACAGTTTAGAGAATCAACTTCCATTCTATCTTCCCACGGATTTGTAGCACTTCTATAACGCTTCTCCTCACCTCTCTCGCTGTCCGATCAGCTTTCCCAGTTTCAGACATTCCATGTCCCCTTGCTTCCATTCGCTTCTGTTCGGCCGACTGGCTTCCCCGAAGGCTTTCACCAGCCCGCATCATTCCGTCTCTCCGGTTCCAGCGAAGAATATTGTTATTGGTTTCGTTTTTGCTGTGCTTTGAACTCTGTGAAGCGATTGTGTTGATTTTTTCTGGGATGGATTCTCTAGCCACACGCACAACCTTCCCTCCGTTTTCGGGCCTCTTAGTGGTTGTGTATTTGGTGTAATTTTATGCCAGTCTAGTTATTATCCACTGAATTTCGATAGCTAAGTTTTCGCATGCCACGACCTCTGCTGGAAAACTCGATGGATACTTAGTTCTGGGTAAATTCAATTTTAACTCACATGCGTTTCCTTCTTCCCATAATCTACCCTTCAATTTGACCATGAGGTTCACTTGCTTCAACTTTCGCCAGATTTTGTGGATAGCTAGGGTCTAAGTAAGCCTAGCTTCCTGCTAAGGTTGTAGAAATCTTCGATAGCTTCTGCAGCATACTATGCACAGTTTTTGCTTCAATCCAAACTCTCTGTTTGAATTGTCGCATTGTTGCTGTCTGTCTGTTTCCATATAAACAGTAGCGAACTCTCTGTCCCAATACTGTGCTGATGGAAATGGTTAAAAATTGCTGATTTTGAATAGCAATCTGTTTGATATGGTACACATTTCTGCTTTGTCCAGGTCTTTTCGTAATAATCAGAGGGCATTTCGGGCGGAGGTTTGTTACATTCCCCATGACTGTGCTCAAATTTGTTCAGAGAGACTCAGTCCATACGATATCCGGCTACAGATAGATCTCCAGGATAGTTGTATGTTGTTCACTGCCTTATACATGACTGAGGAAAAGCTTCATATATCTGTGCATCACTTCGGCTTCTTCGTAATCAATGCATTTTTTCGGAGTCATGATTGAGGATTGATTCTTGGGATTAGTTTACAATCCATACTGCTATATGTATTTTTATATACAGTACACCCATAAAACTTTTAAAAATATTATGCAGCCTGGGTGAGTATCTGGACGAAAGAAAATGTTTAAAATTCATTTCATGCAAAGTAGTTAATGTGCACCATTATTCCCCCAAGCAAGGTGCGGCGCTAATTTCAAGACATCAATGACTGACTGGGGATGAAGCGTAGTAAACGTGATGCGTTGCCGACTCCGTCTTCTTCAACGCCGGCGACATCAAGACGTCACTTGGAGCTTTCACCGGCTTTTTCCTGCCTTAGGGATTCCGATACAGACAACTCCACAGAAAACTGTGGATCACTAGGCTCTCCTGTGTTAAAGAGTTGCCATTCACCTGTAAGATATTCCCCTCTGGGGTCTGCTGAGTCATCTAAAAGGAGCTCTTATGAAGAGACCTCCTCTCCAGATGGTCATGCATATAATCCAGACATGTCAAGTCTATCAGTTGGTAAAGGCTATTTGAGTGACCACTTGCAGCACAGTCTATCTTATGCTCGTTGCATGGAACAGCGTGCACTTAACATATCTGCGCGTTTAACACAGACAGCAAATTTAACGATGAGTCCACGGTTTCTTTTCGCTCCAACTGCTCGTATATCAAATGACAAGTCGGATTGCAAGTCTGATGAATCTAAAAGGCTTTCATTGGTTGATGATCTAAATGCACAGTCTTATTTGACTATTAGTCAGCAAACCACATCAACTGTGGAACGGTATGCCCGTCTTGCGGATGTCTGTCCCGATCTTCTTAACAGTCGTACTGTGAATAGATTCATGATGCAAGGCACACCTGGCGAAAATCAAGAAGAACGGCCCATAGGGATGAACCCTATATTCAACTGCAGCACGTAAGTATGTGTGTTCTTTATGACCAAATCCCAAGTCTTGCAGGATCATTTTCAAACCTAGTGGATATATGTCGGACAAGATTGGCAGTATTGTATAAAGCTCGGCACCGTTTGAGTGGCGTTCTATACTGTTTAAAGAGATCACGCTGCGACTTTGAGACGGAAAATTATGGTGGCAGGTAAGACCATATCTATAAATTAAATTCAAGTTTGTGACTGCATCTAACCTATTATGTCAAAATACTTCGGTTGCTATCCTGTCGTATTACTTATTAAGTTACTCGAGTCACTTGATGCTCACTATGCGTCTGAAGTTAGTTGGGGCAATAGTAATCTTTTGTGATAATCCAAGTTAAGATTTCTAGCTGTGAAAATACTTTAGCGGCAAACACAAGTCGAACATTTACTGCTTATGCTTTTGATGTGCACATTTTTCAATTAAGGTGTTATGGTTAACTTTAACAGCCTATTTAGGATTAACAAACTTTCACTCCTAAGCCTCTAAAATGCGACACCTGTTGACTTTTTTTTATACAAGTATGTGATAGGTGGAGTTTCAAAACATTCTTTAAAGGGATTATCACAATTTTTCTAGTGTTTTGATTTCTAGCAGAATTGTGTTAGCATCTATTTTTCAGTGAACTGATTTGATCTTATTTTGGTAACCTTTTAAATTCACAAACGATGATAACCACTGAATTCTCTTATACTGTTTCTTAGATTTTTCGGTCTTAGCATTAGGTTGTAACACACCCTATTTAGCTTTTCTAAACTGTGTAGTCAGGATCACGTCAATCATCCTATTAGTTTAGGCTACTTCCAAAACTCGACGTTTTGTAGTGTAGTCCACATAAGATTTTTTTATTGTTTCTACATGCCAGCACAAAATAATTTAAAATTTCGTAGTTATGTTATCTAGTGACGTATTTTGATAAGTGTCAATTTGTAAGGAACGTGACAAGTTATTCGATACTGGAGTACTTGTTAACTGTTGGCTTTATTTAGTTCAATAATAAATGCTGGCTGGCATAAACATTGGTTCCTCTTTATTCTGTAGCTGGTACTACCTACCTTTCATACCTTATCAAACCTCATATCATAACACTTTAAGCTGACATTACAGAACTTGTATTTTTTTTTCAGTTCTTCTATAGAAATGCTTAATGAAGTACAAGCCTTAGCATTACTGCAGCACACGAACATCATTCGCTTTTACAGTTCTTGGTACGAGGCTGATTCAATCTACACACAGTTGGAACTGTGTTTAGGTGGAAGCTTATTCAATCTACTACATCCAGATAGACAACATGACACGTCTGAGGCGGTAACCGTCACTCCTCAAGTTAACTTTGATGAAGGCGAATACGCTTCCCCTATATCTGATTCATCATGCGATGCAAACCGTAACTATCTTTCAGAAAAACCCTTAATCATATTGGCATCAAATATCCTTAGTGCTCTTCATTATATGCACACTTATTGGTCAATGGTTCATGGTGATGTCAAACCGAGTAATGTGTTAATACAATTAAGCAGACCAGAAGTATACTTAGCAGCCGCACAGGATTCTATAGAAATGGATGCTAAGCGTTACTGTCATAAGGTTAGTTTTTATTAAATGTGGTTGAACTGTGCGTTCATTTCTGTTTTGCTAAGTAGATTACTATGTTAGTGCTTTAACATAATGTATATCTGTACATTAAACTATTTAGAGTAAGTAGGTTGTATTATATGAATTCATTACCCGAATTTCAGGGTACCGAAAATTATGTGGGGTCTGAACTGCAATGTTTATACGTGCAAATTAAATAACAAAAACAAATAGCGATGGTCGTATGATAGTCAATTATTTGCTACTGTTAATATTTTTGCGCTTTGCCGGTAGTTATCTATCGTATATTTTCTGCTATTTTTGTTGGCACTCCCGAATGTTTTATCATTGTCAAATTGTTCTACAAATATACAGTTTTTATGTTCATGTCGTAAAGTCAAGCGTACTTATTCATTAGGGTTTAGCCATCCAAACTGTAGTCCGCTGAACACGATTCAAATCTTTAGTCCATGTACTATGTATCCTCAGATAAGTAGGCTATGTATTTGGTTTTCAGTAGTCATTATTACGCAGTTTCGTTAATTGTTAAACAACCAGAAGTAAGTGTTTCAGGCTTTTTGGTATTTATTTATGTCCATGGTCTAGAAATATGTCATCGGTCTCTGTGGGATACGGCTATATGACTTAATTCCTGACGCTCTTGGCATGGTTATAGTCATATTATACTTTCACGTTGTCATAAGATAAATAGTTCTTCCGTAGTTATATTTGTCCGTCGCTATTCAGCTTCTGTCAATTTTTTCATATGAATAATCTAACAATTTAACTGTATTTTAGCTGTTAATAAAGGCAGTATAAGCAGAAACATTTCATTTCAGTATAAACTGCCATTATGAAAAAATATGTAACTGAGAATTATGAATGGCTAGTTCCATATTAACCTTAGAGGCAACCATTAGTGTGACTGACTGTTGATAACTAAGGAATTAAAGCAGAACTGTATCATTTCAAGTTGGCACATTTCGATAAAGCTCAATTAAAGGAGGAGAACAGAAACATAACGAAACAATGGTGAAAAACACGTTCAAAGACATAGAACCACAATGAATGTCTGTAATACGTGATTTTTAACATCCTGAAGACTCCAACTCCATGAAGGGATTAGAACAATAGTTACTGATTTCAAGGTCCAATAGTTTCCTTACGAATCACCAGTGTTCCAGTAAACTATCTCCGAGGGCATGTTGATTTCGAAATATTGTTACTAAATTTCTTGCTAGATGTATCACGAATTGTAATATGCAAGTCACAGTTTGGGGAATAAAAATCAAGTGCTTATATCTGTTAGATCAATTTCTTAAACTGTTGAGTAATGTCAAAGTAAAACACTGGATATTGTAAAGCTTAGTAGAAAGATAATATTATGTCTGTATCTAGGTTAATTCAAAAAATGTTTTTATACACATTGTGATTCTTTTCTTAGCTTCTGCTTGCTGGTGATACTACAGGAATAGTCTTTAAGTTGTCTGATTTTGGTCGGGCGTCTCGAGCTGGTGAAGATCGTGATGGAGAGGATTTGGGTGACGGACGATATCTCCCAAGATTGAACGATCCCAGTCCGCCAGCAAGGGCTGCCACTGGTCGTGACCTGTACGCCCTAGGCATCACACTTTACCATTCAGTGAGTTAGTTTTTATGAATGCTCTTTTTGAAATGCTTATATATTAGTTTTAGACGATGAATATGGGGGAGTTATATAACTTCACAGCGTGGTACACGCCAATAGTATTATGAAAAATAATGAAAATGCAGTCTATATAAATACTTAAGATTTGCGGCATTTCGTATTTCTATAATAAGACAAAATGTGCTACTCAGTACGTTTAGTATTCAAAAGTTATTTTAATGGCGTTATTGAAAAGAACTGGATACTTCACAGAAGTCATTTCAGGCTTTTCGTGTTAGTACTAATTGCCTATCAACTACCAGCCCACCTAAGCGAATACTACCTTTCAACCTCTTCCACTTCTTCTATCAAATAGGTTTATGATTGACATAACTTGTAAGAGAACACTTTATACATTGAAGGTAAAGGAAAAAAGCACAAACATTCTTCAGTTGTCATTGAGACTGTTGACCTCTTTGTACGCCAGGTCTTATGTTAACTGAAAGTCCTGTCACTTTCGCATAAGACGTTCACTTCTTTTAAAATGAAATAAGGTGAGTATATTCAAGATAAAACTGAGCAAGATTGAAAGAAGCATTCTTAACGACAACTGGTCAAAGTGGATACTTGAGAGCGTTTTCCACAACACGCACGAATGTGACCACAGCGCCTTGTATGAGGAGTGCATGTTGAAGCTTCTCTGCACAATTTGTAGCCTATTGGCTACATTACTTAATTCCACGTAGTCATAAGTATTTGACTCACTAGTGCGTTTTCTAAATCTACGACTATCTGTTGTCACCACAGAAAAATTAGGTAAATACAACTTACCACATAGCTTTTATTAATGTATGCTTTCTATTCTTTCAGGCAGGTGGGCCAATGTCTGCGTCCGTTTGGGAACAGCTTCGCGAGAGAGATTGTCTACCCGACCTCTCTGTGCTCCCAGTTTCTCTGAGACCAGCTGTCAAAGTAAGTAATTTGTTTCCTAAGATGTTACTACGATATTCGTTCTTTACCTGATTTTTTACTTGATACAAAAGAAAACTGATAGTAAACAAGCATAAACATAAGTAGTGTCAAATAGTTTATATTTTTGCTTTATACAATTGACCCAATCAATTACGGTTTCAAAATAGGAGTCATCTGGACGCACTAATCAAACTACGGGTGTTTATATGTACTTAAAACGTCAAAATTTTCACATTCTGTTTGTTTTACGCACATCTTAGACTTTTTATTCCGTTACAGTAGGCAATGGTAGTAAAATTTATAGAAATTATCTCAACACTGTGTAATTGATTTTTGTTGTTTTTAGTGAGAAGTCTTCATTAGGTAACTTCATATTTTTTAGGAAGCACTGGTTAATGTGCGGTGCGTATTGTCGTTACTTTCTTAACAGTGTTAGACCGACTAGTTTGTTCTTTTAGGAACGTAATTTTGAAAACAAAGAATTCATGGACAAAATTTTAATTGACGTAAATGAAAGTGGTTACTATTGATTCACTTGTAGACTTTCTTACTTTGCCTGTTTAATATTCCGCTAAATGTATATCGTATGCTAATGTTATTAATATAATTCACTTCCGTGGTTTTTAAAAATGTAAGTTCTGGTTTCACTTCTCCATTCAATAATCTTCAGCCAACTAAGTTTATCACCTAGTTTTTGAACTTTAGAGTAGTCCCCAACTGTAGTATTATTTGTCTGCCTTAGTAGCCACCGATTCGTCCTTAAACTTCCCCTGTTTTGTTAGTATACAAAGTTAATTGCTATTAAATTTATAACCACTAAAGAAGTATCAGCAGCCAATTCACCAAGGGAGCAACAAAACATTACTTCAATTGTTTCCTAGTTACTCTCTAGTTTTTTGTGTGATAGGATATTCGAGTCTTCTAGTATATGTTTCGAATTTCTTGGCTTGTTGTGTCCTCTGGTGTATAAGCTGACATCTGACAGGCAAACTTGGATGCAGCTATGCCTTTATAAAGCAGTAGAACCAGTGAATATGACGAGTTCTGACTCTCCGTCAGACGTATATTGTCCAATTTTACAGATGATTCTATTCATATTAAAAACTGATACAATCAACTTATGACTGTTGATGTTCACATGAGCAGCGCTAGTATTGGACATTTAAATTTAAAACCACTTAAAAAGTAACCTTTCCATGTATTTACTTTTGTAAAGCCTATCACATTTAGCAGCATTGGCATGTACGTAATGCTGGCGTTCAGATGAAACTAATATTTTTCTTTGTTTTTACTGGCCAAAGAGATAGAGATAGTTGGTTAATGAATTCCTAGTGTAGGAGGATAGACTTAACATTGATGGGCTTCAATCATCGCTAAGTGTGATCTGTAAGTGAAGTCACTAGTCGTAATGTAGTGGGCATAATCAATATAATATCAATTTAGCTGTAATATGCTTTTACCTTTTGTTTCATAGTTTTTCTTATCTTCAATTGGTAATTATAGTCTGTCTTATTTATTGACTGGTGGAAATAATTTTGGAATTGTCTCAACTTACGTGACTATGTATTATTTTTTTTCTTTCCTTATACTTTAATAGAGTCTCCTAAGTCCTCTTGCCCAAGATAGACCAACGACATCTGAACTCCTAAATTACCCGTTGTTTCGTCCTTATGTAAATATTCACTCAGACGGTATGTTTTTGGTTTTAAATTAATGTTTCTACCTTATATATATACTAGAATTAAATTACGTTTAGTCCATTTTATTTACCTGAATCTAGGTTTGCCTTTTTCCTTGTGTCGTTATGGATTTGTGTATATCTAAGTAGTTTTACTCTTTAGGATAAGCTTAATATTGTTTACGTTAGCTGAAAAATGCAGGTTTTTTTTGATAAATCGTTTTATTTCTAAGTAAAAACGAGATGCAAACATTAGCAGCTGGTTAACTCGTATTTATTGCATCGTTTTTTTGAACCCGTCTGTTAAGCGTAAGATTTCTAAACAAATAGGTCGAATAAATTAATCAGCATATTTTAAGCATTACTGACCCAAAGGGATTTGTTATTTTCTTATTGAATATATAAATGAATATTTAAGATTTTTAAGTCCTTTAAAACCAATATATTCAACAGGTTTCCGTGATAGATATGTGTTCATATGCTGATTTTGTCACTGAAATATGTAGATAGAAAGACTTATTATTTTTTGAATTTGTTACAAATAAACTTGTGTAAATGTTGCACTTGAAATCAGCATTTCATACTACTAAGACATTTCTCACTCTGTGACATGTAATTACAGAGTTACAAAACAATATATTGAATTGGATTGCATATTTTACCGTCTTTCAAAATATTCGATTTTCAGCTTGTGATTCAGTACAAGTATTTGGGTTAACTGAAAAAGAATAAGTAATTAATAAATTTCTATTTTGGGTCCCAGTGGCTGAATGGTTTACGAGCTTGCCTTGTAACCGGGAGGTCCTGGGTTCGAACCCCAGTGGGTACGTACTGCCGATAATTAATCAATTTCAATTACCGACGAAAAATAGTACCATGATATTTTTAGATTTCTAGAATTGTGCACAGAGTAATAGGAGTGTTTGTTTTCGAAATATTGTTTGTTGTTGAATAATGTGTGATCAATGCAGATGAGTAAGCATTGTCAACACAGTTCGGCAGGTAAACTTCTCCTTAAAGGGTCAACTAGAGACTCTAGGAATCAGTAGCTTGAAACTATTGGTGATATGACTCAGAACTTTCGTCATTGGCGCAGATGAACTCACTCTTTTCAGTCTCTCAGTTCCATAAAGTCCTCATGTTTCCTTATGTAATTATTTATCTCCCGTACATTTCTGCTGACTGTCGTTAGTTTTAATTTTCTTTCTTTTTCCCTACCTTTTTGTGCTACATGGAGTGTAGCAACTTGAACAGCTGCACTTCTGTGCAAAGTGGTACGATGAAACTGAGTTAGCCGTTGTTATCGGTAATCATATGTTGGTGTCATCGTGACTTAAAAGCAAATTTAATAGCTTGCTGAAAGTAACAGTTGAAAAGTATATATCTCTTTTATTTCCTTTTGCTGGAAACAAAGCTGAAACTTAGTTAACGTTTAATCATAATCCGTACACTATTTTTTAACATTCACAAGAAAAATATGATATAAATCAGTCTACGAACCTGTGTTTTCCGAATCAATCGCATCCACTTTTTAAGGTAGACTAACTGCATACTTATGGAGTAACTGTTTGTTAAACTATCGCGCAGACTAACAGATTACTACATAAATAGTTGAAAACATTTCTTTCCCGTAGTATATTTAAAACAAGCAATAACTGTGAAGCAAAGCAGTATTTAATGAATTCATTAATTCCAGCAGGAATTGTCATCATATTTTATCTGACGTGCTGTTAGCTTTCTGAGGATATGTGCAAATCGAAAATCGTATATTAGTATTGATCTTGGTGAGTAGTGTTCAAACTATCTTATGAGTTTAAATCAGACATGTCAAAATTTTGTAATTTAGTCGTATACAATTCGCACATATTGAATTTATTTATGCGTTTTTACGAAGTTCCCTGGTATTTCGATATTATCAAATCTAGATGTTTATACTTGTATTAATTCTACCACAATAACTCCAGTTTATATGTTACTATGTAATTTGATGAGTATTATTCACTCGATAATGACGATAACAGATTATCACTCACCATTTATGGATAATATATTTGTACAGCTTGATACTGATTTGTTGTCACAACTTCCATGTGTTTGTATGTGATTTAACCTTAAAAGATTATATAAATAACACTGTTTGTACAGTACTTAGGTGATGAGCTCTACCGAAATTTATGAATTCATTAAACACTGCTTTTTCACAGTTGTTGCTTCTTTTAAACTTAAATAGATATTAAGAATGCACCACTTGAGTTCCTTGAATCAGTAATTCAATACTTGGTTCTATTTCATTAGGCTCTTGATTTATGTTACTGCTAACTCCAGTATGTCAGATACTTTTGTCCTGACTGTTATTTTCGCAAAGTTTTAGTGTTGTTTTGTTTTGTAATTTATCTGATTAAATTAAATAAATTACAAAATTGTTTTTGTCGATAACCCAATAGCTTTTGCTTACAATGAAATGAGAATTTTTCTCTTTTATTTTAGATTCCTGTCCATTGTTAGATTTTGTTTGCGTTACCTGAATTTCTGGACTTACTGACTCACGTGATTATTCAGACAAGACAGTGATTTGAACTTTTATATATTTACTTGTTGAATATGACAAACTCCCCATGGAGTGCGAAAGTATAAATAAATTTTTTCAAAAGTCGTATTGAATGTATTCTAAAGTTTTCCTACCGATCTGATGTATTTATATGGTAAAGTTAGCTTTCTTCAGTAGCAATTGTGTGTAATAGTTGGCATGCTATTCGCCCCTGTGAAATGTAAGATGCTGCTACAGGACTGGACTACGTCAACTCCTAGCTTAGTGATAGGGAGTGAAGTGATAGAACATGTTGATCACTTCACCTATTTGGGAAGTTGTATCAGCACCAACGGATTGATTGGTGACGAAATCACAGCACGGATCCAGAAAGCTCGGGCTGCTTTCTCTAACTTGCACCGTCTCTGGCGTAGGCGTGACATCCGGCTATCAACCAAGGGACGTGTATACTGTTCAGCAGTTCGCTCCGTCCTTCTCTATGGCGGTGAGACGTGGCCATTGAGAGCGGAAGACATGAAGAGATTGTCTGTTTTTGACCACAGATGTTTACGATCTCTTTCTCACGTTAGGTGGTATAATAAGGTAAGTAATGTTGACGTTAGGCGTAGAGTGTTGGGTAAAGAGGGAAAATCACTCGAAGAGGCTATGAAGTTACATAGATTGAGATGGTTAGGCCACGTGCTGCGCATGCCTAGCCATCGTCTCCCCCGACGGGCATTACCAGCTGATATAGGTGCAGGTTGGAAAAGGGTAAGTGGTGGCCAAACAAAAACATGGCATCAATCCATGAAATCCCTGACAGTTAAACTGAGTCAGGTAGGGAGATGCAGACTTCCGGGTTGGGGCCCTCGGGACTCTAAGAATCAATGGCTGGAGACAATAGGTGACATGGCTCAAAATCGTTGTCAATGGCGCAGATGTATTCAGTCTCTTTAACCTTCATATTCCTTTCTACCATTACTCATTCTGTTTCACTCTTATACTTATCTAAATTCTATTGATTCTCTTCTCTCATTTTCCTGTCTACGTTTGTGTGCTATTTGGAACGTGGCAACTCGAACTGCTGCACTTCGGTGCCAAGTTCTATGTTGAATCCAGCAGCAGCAGCAATAGTTGAAAAATGAGCTTTGCAGTATGCTGTGTTTAAGATTATTACAGTACTGAGAGATCTATGTCTATGTGTACCGATGTTATAAAAATTGTATACTTACCCGAGGTTCTCTTTCAGTCCATGAAATGTAGTGGATGTCTTCTGTGAGTTGGATGGACTTAGCTTTGCAACTCAGCTGTCTAGCTGAGAGAATACAACTACACCAAAGTCATCCACCTGCTCTACAAATCTCTATCAAATTTGAATCTAATAGTATTAGACTGTATGGCTACGCTAGTTTAAAAAGGAAAAAATTATTTGAGTAGACATTTGTCTTTAGAAATCCCCCCGTCAGGCTCTAATATCATGAATCCATGGGAATAATAAAAAAAATCGGTTTCGGCGAAGAAAATTTTCTTTTGGACGAAGGCATTAACTAGGCTGCGCATTCGTGTATTTAAAGTAAGTGTGTGAAAAAGTTCCATAACTGTTTCCGGTCAAAGGTCAAATTAATAAAATTACAAAGTGTATTAAATACGAAAATCGGATACAGAATATAGTAAGGTTGATAGGTTGTAGTATTATCCTAGAAATATTTCAGGTCAAAGGTCAAATTAATAAAGTTACAATTAAGAATGTTGTAATAAACAGAGGGATAAAGCATCAGAATTACTGAGGAGATTGACATGTTGTGCAATTAGGGGTTAGAAGTGTAGAAATAACAAAAGAGACAGGATTGTTGGATAGAAAATCTAGTGGGATCATCACTAATGTGACGAATAATTGTTTATGCAATTAGGGATTAAATATGTAGAAATAATAAAATGACAAAACAGACAGGAAGTTCGGATATGAAGATTTTATTATAGGATTTAGGTTTTTCGTTTAGTTCCTAGAGATATAGAGAACTTCCTCCGCACGTTTACATTGCATTCGTTTCTCTGCAAACTTTTTGTCGTGGCTCCAACTATTGCCACATGGTTTCATCTACTCTTCATATTACCTCCTCCATGTCACCCTTGGACGACGAAATCGCCGCTTCCCGTTTGGGTTTCGCTCGAAAATATGGTAGTTGTAAATAGGAATTAAGAAAAAATTAACGTGAATAAATTGGAAGTTTGGGAAAGAAAGGTAATGGGATAGTCAATATCAAGAGAATTACCTGTTTATGATGGCCATGACAGGGACAATGTGTGGAAGTACATCTTTTGGATACATAGCGTGGGTTTGAGTTTTTGGATGGCTAGTGCCTCGGTTATGCCCAAATATCTTGATTTTACTCCCTTTGATAGGTTTGAACGAATCTTGTATATGATCTTGAAGGATTTTTCGAAAGGCGCTGAATGTCCTGAGCTGACCAAATGTGTCACTGAAGTATATACACATTTTCGTTCTGCTTTTACTAGCCAAGTTGGGTAGTGTTCATGAGAGCGTTTTTAAGGTTGGCGCTTGTTACGGCCGATGTACTTAGCTCCACACAAGCAAGTAAACTGGCATATGCACGACAGCTTGTCTTTCGCGTTCTGGCTGAACAGTTTCTAGCAGGAAAATGTCAGTCGTAGGCTTGTGGTGAAGTATGATTTCTTCAGAGATTTACAAAGGCGTTTCCGAAGGATGTCTGCTTCATTGTCACCTTTGAATTCTAGATTAAGCAGGAGCATCTTCTTCGGGACGGATTGGACTTGTTCAGAAGTCTTCTTTTATTTTAGATTCTTATCTATGAGCCTAGGTGGAAAACCGTCTTCCATCAAGGTTCCTCGGTGATTACGCAGTTCTTTCTCAACCTCTTCCCCGCTGGATGTCTTCCGAATCCTCGAAGAAAGAGTGTATATCAGGTTCCTCTTCCTGCTTAGGGGCACGAAGCTTTGAAAGTTGATGAATTGTCCATTCCATGTAGGCTTTTTGTATATGGACCTTTTCAGAGAGTTGTTGGCGTTTCTTCTGAGATGAACGCTGAGGAAGTGTAACATTCCATCGGATTCAGCTTCAAGAGTAAAGTCGATGTTTTTGTGAGCATTGTTGAAGGTTTGAAGTAAGTTTCAAAGGTCCAGGTTCCCATCGCAAATGATGAAAGTATCATCAATGTATCTCTTATAAACATGAAGGTCAGTGATAGTCGATGACAAGAAGTTGTTTTCGAGGCTGGTCGTAAACAGTCGACCATGAGGGGTCACAGTGGAGAGCTCGTCGCTACACAATCTGTTTGCCGGTAGATTTCGTCGTTGAATCTGAAGTAGACGTCGAGGGTACAGTAAAGTAACAGCTCCTTTAGATAATGGGTCGGTATACCGACATCTATGCTGTTGCGTTGGATGAAGTTACACAGAAAACATATAGTTTCTGTCAGTGGAACATTGGTGAAGACCACCTCCGTAACGCCATCTTGATATACGGGAAAAGCATACAGAAGTGTGATGATATTAGATGGTTGGAGGCAATCGGCAGGAAGCCGGCTTCCTTGTTCTTGTCCTTCCTTGTTCACGGTCGTTGCGAAGACTTTTTGTTAGTTTTCGTTTGAGTAGCATTTGAGTACATTTCGCTCCTCATCGTAATCTGAGCTCGCTGGAATCAGTCTTCTTGCGTCAATCAGTTCGGATGAGGCGGTAAAGATCCAGTGGCTTTAACTACCTTGAGGTTTTAGGTTATTGACAGCTTTCACAGCTGTGTCTACAGCTAACTATATGTTGTGCCAGGCTACCTCAGGGGAAGTCCTGCTGTCGACCTCAGAAACTAGTTTCGCTATTTCTTCCTTAAATAAGGACTCAGTAACGAAGTAACTACAAAGTCTACCTGAGACCAGGAAACTTCCCCATACAACCAAGAAGCAAGAGCAAAGACATCAATTTGATTTTCACTGGCTCGTAAAAACGATAACGGAAAACCTACCGCTATTGTACTTCCACTTGAAATTCGTATCAATGCTAGGGACTTTCATATGATAGGTTACGGCAATTTTCTTGCTATTTCTATCCTAACTATGCATTTTCTGTTTAACTTATGGAAAATTCTATTTATCTAACGAGATAACATCGGCAAACCAACAAAGCATTCCAGACAATTTTTCCATCCTTAACTTATATGCCGTCGAGATTTCATGTGTAAAACTCGTGAAAATGTGTTCTCATCCACTAATACTTCAAAACATCTCAATGCACAAGAATTACTGCTTTCTGATGGACTACACTGTATGCCCATAAAATCATGACTATATGTATGAAATTTCGTTTACAGTTACATTTTTCAAGTTATTTAGTTTATTTTCATCCAAAATACAACGGGAAAAACGATCTTATAACACCTGTTCACGTTATTTTCCCCACAAATTTGTAGGTTAACCGATCAGTTGACGTAAGGTGTTTATCCATTCCGTGTTTCACTGTCGTAGTTTGAATGAGCACTTCAAGGTCATTGGTATGGTAGTTCATCTAGATGTCTATTCTTCATCTTAATCCGAAAAACAAGTCTTAACCTCCACTCCTACCCCACCTCTAAATCTCACCTTTTGACTATACCTACTTAACCTAAATGGTAGCTATTTGGATGAGAAAGTTGGATTTGTACCTGAGAGATTCTAGAGTAGACAATCTTGTAGGGGTAAATAATTGCTCAAAAGTATTAGCCTACAGAATTCTTTATTCATCATTAGATGCCAACCTTCGCTATTTAAGTCAACTCGTTAAGCTGAATTATCGCGGCCAAGCATAAAAGCCATTTGACACGCTGTCATTTTATGTTTAGTCTTTCGTGTACGTTGCCTAGCTAAGTAACCATTATCACACTAGGATTCTGATCTCTACATATACCTCGTATTTTTGAAGATCTATATGGTGTTTTGATTTGTCTTTTATCTAGGCAGAAAAAGTACCATATGAGTAGGAGGATAAGAACTTGAGTTTGTATACAGCCTGCTTCGCGTAAAAGTTAACATGCCTTCACCTCTTAAAATATGCTTAATAACCATAATCTTCTTTAAAAATTTTCGCAATAGTACACTTTTTTTTACCTCCATTAGTCTGGT